ACCTTAATTTGGAAGAGCGTAATATCAAGCAGTGTCGTAGGAAGATATGTGATGGGCATTACACCGCTGCAGTTCGGGTTCTTTCTTCTTCAGGCGTTGCTCCTTATAATGAGGCCACTCTTGCGGATTTACAATCCAAACACCCTTCTTCTCTTACTCCATCCTTGTCTTATATACCTGTTGATCACCTTCATCTCATTGCTAATTCTGCTGTTGTTTTGAATCGGATTAAAAGTTTTCCGCGTGGCACATCATGTGGTAGGGAGAATTTACATGCTCAACATCTTATGGATTGCTTGAGTGGTGTTGCTGTGGCTGTCTCAGATGAGTTAGTTGACTCTATTTCCGGGGTGGTTAATCTCTTTCTAGCTGGAAGATGTCCTTAGGCGAGTATATTGCTAGTGCTCCTCTCACACCTCTTGTCAAGCCCGGCGGTGGTATTCGTCCTATAGCAGTGGGTATTGTTTGGCGGCGTCTGGTTTCAAAGGTCGGTGCTGTTATGGTTGGCCAGTCTTGGGGAAGTTACTTTGATGGTCTTCAATTTGCAGTTGGGGTTTCTTCAGGTGGTGAGGCAATTCTTCATGTTGTGAATCGATTGATTGAGGATCGTGGTTCTGATGTTGGTCTTTCAATGTTGTTGGTGGATTTTCAAAATGCCTTCAATCTTGTTTATCGTATGGTCATGTTACGTGAAATTCATCGGCGTTGTCCAGGCATTTCGCGATGAGTTGAATTTTGTTACACTAATCCAGCAAGATTGTATTACGGGGCCACACCTTATGGTCGTCTCAGGGGGTGCAGCAGGGTGATCCCCTTGGTCCTCTACTTTTTGCTTTGGTTTTACAGCCCCTTGTATGTAAAATCAGAGATACTTTTGCGTTATGTCTTCAGGCGTGGTATTTGGATGACGACACTATTATTATTGACACTTTATTAGCGGTGAAGGTTCTGCAGTTGATTATGGAGGAAGGGCCTCATTTTGGGTTACATCTCCACGTGGAAAAACTGAAGTTATTTTAGCTTCAGAAGACCCTCGAAGCAGGCTTGTGGGTGTCTTTCCGCCTAATATTGCTCGACCTTCGCATGGTGTTAAGTTGCTTGGTGGTCCCGCTAGTTCCGATTCCAGTTATGGAGGTGAGCTTGTGATGTAGAGGGTGACCAAGACCATTGCGCTTATGGATGGGGTTGCTAAGTTCGATGATCCTCAGTGCGAGTTGTTGTTGCTTAAGACATGTACCGGAGTTTCTAAACTCTACTTTGCTTTGCGTACTTGTCCCCCTAGTACTTTTGAGGTGGCTCAGCGCACATTTGACAAGGCTCTTCGATCTTCCTAGGAGCGTATCGTTACTGCTTTGGGGCCTGGGTTTGGCGATTGGCAGTGGCGGCTTGCCACCTTACCTTTTGCGTTTGGCAGGCTTGGTGTTGATTCCACAGGTGATGTTCGTCATTATGCTTTTCTTGCCTCTCGATTACAGTCTGCTGGGTTACAGACAAAGCTTCTGCGGCATGCTGGCGTTGTTGGCCTTAGTCGAGCCTTTGAGGATGCGTTAAGTCTGTACAATAGAACGGTGGAGTCTGACGTTTTGAATAATCCTAGTGAGGTCGCTGCCCCTAAACTCATGAAGAAATTTGCAGATATATATTTCACAAAGGTTACCACTTCTGCAAAATCCACCTTCTCTTTATCTCCTCGACAATCAGCATTGTGGAAATCGCAGCAGGGAGATCACACCTCTACTTGGCTTTAGGCGGTTCCTATTTCGGGGTTGGGTCAGATGATGAACGCAAAGACTTACAGATGTGTGTTGTGCTATCGCTTAGGTGTTCCATTGTTCTCTGTCTCGACACCGTGCTCTGCTTGTTCAAGGGTTTTAACTGGGGATATTTTCGGTGATCACGCGGTGTCGTGTGCTGATATGGTGGATGTAACATCGGCATAATGTTGTTCAGGATACCCTTGTTGATGTTTGTTATCGATCTGGGATTTCAGCTAGGAAGGAGGTTGACATTGGGTTGTCTGGAGGGAACGACGGGGCCCACACACCTGCAGATGTGTTGCTTTATTCCTCGGATCGTGGTCGCGATGTTTGTGTTGACTTGACAGGGTCTTCTCCCTTGACACAGTCTGGGTATCTGATTTTGTTCCTGGACGTGTTGTGGCTGATGCGGCTCAGCGGAAGCGGATGAAATACGAATCCAGTTGTCGGGCAGTTGGATTTGGCTTCCTTCCTTTCTCTTTCTTTTCTCTTGGGGAATTAGAAAAGGAGGCGGTTGCATTGCTGAAGCGGATCCAGAAGTTCTCGAAGACTCAAGGCATTGGGGCACGTGCTGCTGCTCATATCTTCACTATGATAAGATTTGCTATATCTAGAGGAGTAGGGGCCTAGATTGTATCTCGGCTTCCCACTAATTTTTTGTAGGTTGTATGACTTTGTTTGTTTTTGAGATATAATAATAATTGACTTGATAGACATTTGGCTTTATTTATGCACTATATAGAAGTTAATGTTTATGGTTGGTATTGTTTAGCTTTTCATATATATAATTTTGAATCTTGATATTCCTTAAGACTTTATCTACATTTTATATATTATTTCAAAATTAAAAATAAATCATTCAATGTCATATTGTTCATTCCATAAAAAACCCTCGATCAAATAAAATTTCCTACATATATTGATGAAACTCAATAAACCTTAAACATTTTAATATGTTAAAATTCTTCATGTACGACCCTATTTCGCTAGAAAATTTTATATAAAAAGATGCCCCTTCACTTTATCTTAGTTTTCTCATTAATTTTATCAAACACAACTTCATATTACATAACTTAATTAATCACAAGTGCACAACCTCGCTCAATTTTGTAAACAAATAATATAATTTTTTGTGCCCTCCACATCTTATTTTCTTCCTTTCCCAAATAAATTATAAAATCTGTTTACTCAATTCATTTCATAACCAATCAAATCTATAATAATCAGCCAATAAGTTAAAATATTCTATATTTATTGGTGGAATAATAATGAATCTAAAGGATTTCCTTTTCGATTTATGTGCAATGTGGCAACTGGCAACTAATTGCGTTAACACTTTGCATGCAAAGAACAATTCTATAGTCACCAATTTTTTTTTTAGTTTCTTCAAAATTTTATGGCTCATATTGATAATATTTATTAGGTGCAAATAGTTTAAGAACATATCTAATTTATGCTTAAGTTAAAAACTAGGGAAATTCTCAACGGTGACCCCCAACTTCTGCTACATACCAACGGTAACCCCCTTTTTTTTGGATTATACAAAATGACACTACTTATTCTTTTTCCCCTAATGATGACATTAATGATGGTGTTTTAACATAAAATTAAATTATGGTTAACCAAAATAGCAAAATGACATAAATGCCCCCTTTTATTTCACCCAACCATCTGATTTTAATTCCCTCCATTTATCTCTCTCTCCTTCTTTCTCCCTCTTCATTACTCTTCATCTTCTTCCTTCTGGTAGCTTTCCCATCAAAAGGTTCATCGAGACACAAAAAAACGCAGAGCATTGAATGCGAACTCTATAATACCATCAAAAATAGACGGTGATAGTCATTTTTCTTCTGGGTTGAAGTAAAGGGGGATTCAAACTTTTTTGATTTCAAAAATTGCGACTAGGGTATTCAAGTTTGGGCTAAGAATCGGGGGTACCTGGTGAAAGATCGAATCTTTCTGCATCATCTTGCCAAAAAGAAGTTCTGGTATGCATCCAAAACCCTAATTTTTATATAACGTTTGAGTTGTGCATGTTATGTACTCTATTTTGGCACGATCGTTTTGTTGCATGTTTTATGTGGTTGTATTGAAGTATTATGCCCTAAAATGAAATTTTTTGTTGTCTTGTCTACTGATTTTGAGTTAAGGACTTGCTTGTCTGTGTTGGTGCTTGGAATATGATATGGTGTTAGAATGAGTGATGCGGTGGTGTTGAGGTTTCAGTATAAGGGTGTTGAGGTTGATGTGGTAGTTGAGGATATTGACACAGTAAATCTAGTTGACCTAGTGATAGAGTATTGGAATAAGGTTGTTGAGAGTAAGAAACCAATTCCAAAACATGCTAGTTTTGCTTATGTTCACAAAATGAAACATGTGGACTTGATTAATGATCAAGACTTGATGAAAATGTTTACTAACTTAAATGGAAAAGACCTTATATATATGAGTGGGTGAGGCTAATTCACCAAATGAGTTACTAAAGGCTGCTAGGACCTTGAGGGCAAGTAGGATAACTGCTGAGTTGAAACAAAATGTGGGACAGTTGGGTCAGACAGAATGTGATCCTGAAAAGGGAATCCCTAGGAGAAGTTTAAGGAAGCTAGAGGGTAGTTCAAGTCAACCTGTGATAGATGTTGAGAGACCTAAGAAACTAACCCCTAGGAGAACACTTCATCCAATGTCAGAGAACCTGTAGACTCAGTTCCAGACCCTATTCCTGAACTTGTTAATTAGGGAGATGAAGCTGATGATGAAAGTGATGGTGAACCTATTGAAAACCCTATAGTTGAAATATATAATGCAGTACCTAGTGATGATACCTGGGCTGATTTGATAAGGGGAATGGAAGAAGAACAAGAATACATGAGTAGGGGGAGAGGAAGAGGGGGGGGGAAACCTAGAGGGAGAGGTAGGGGAAGAGTTAGGGGTAGAGCTAAGGGGAAAGAAGCACATGTCAAGCTGACAGGAGGTAGGATATGGCATAGTGGACCTGGAAGAGACTTAAAGACATGGTATAGGAAGCAACTGGAGAATGCAGTAGAGACTGAGGCTGAGAGGTTGGCTAGGGAGAGGTATGAGAAGAGAGAAGAAGAGAAGAAGAGACGAGGAAAGAATTAGGGGTTACCACCTATAGAACAAGTCAAACTAGTCTGGGTACTCAGAAGAAGTCCAAGAAAAAGGTTCCAAAGTGAGGGTCAGACATAAGCTAGGATAGATGTGATTGCACCACCTCTGTCTGAGATGAATGTTATCACAAGGCAAGCTTCAGGGTCCTCTGGGGAGATAGTGACATCTTCTAAATCTTCGAAGACATCTAACACATTTGGTAAAAGAATTCCAAGGACTACAGCTAAGAAGAGGGGATTGATTATCAGAACAATTTCTGATGAAGCAACTGAGCCATCAAACCAACTTACTGTGAGTTAGGGTGAAGATGAAGCTATTTTGAGTGATGAAGGGGATGGTGGTGAATTTGATTCTAAAGAAGTTGAAGATTAGGAAGATGATAATGTAGATCAGGAAAATGAAGATGAAGAAGAAATGGATGAAGATGATGTAGGACCAGTTGTTGACAACTTTGATTCTTGGGAAGGCCCTGTGTGGGAGAATGACAATGAAGCTGAAGATTACTTTGCAAAATTGTACAAAAATGGAGAGTTGTACAATGATGAGGAGTTTGGCAAAATTGTCATTAAACCATGGCAATTATTCACAAATAAACAACATTTGAGAGATGTTGTGAGGGATTACTGCATACAAAGTGGGTTTTCTGTAGTTGTGCTCAAGGCATCTAATTTGAGGTGGACAGTTAAATGTTCTGCAAGTAACAATGAGTGGAGGCTGCATGCATCTAGGCTTCTTGATGGTGTCACATGGACAATCAAGTCCATTCAGAACATGGAGCACACTTGTTCTGGTTTAGAGGTGAAGAATCCTATGGTGTCTACCAAGTGGGCTGCAAGAGTGTTGCTTGAGGATATAAGAGCCAACAATGATATCCCTGCCAAATCATTGAACCAGTTACTCTGGCAAAGATATGGAGTACAAATGTCTACAAGTACTCTATATAGGATGAGGTTAAAGGCTCTGAGGGATATTAATGGGGGTCGTGAAATCTTATATGCCCAACTTCCTGACTACTGTGAAATGGTGAGATCAACAAACCCAGGTTCTTCTGCATTCTGTGCTTGGACACCTCAAGATCATATTGATAGGCCTCTACAGTTCCTAAGTATCTTCATATCATTCAAAGGCTGTATAGATGGGTTGCTAGCTGGCTGTAGGAGCTTCATAGGTGTGGATAGGGCTCACTTAAAGGGGAATTATGGTGGTGTCCTGTTATCTGCAGTAGCACTGGATGCAAATAATGAGCTATTCCCCTTTGCTTGGGCAATTGTATCAGTTGAGGACACAGATAATCGGAAGTTCTTTATGTGGCATTTGAAGAACTTGCTCAAAGACAGTGAGAAAGGTGATGAGTGGTGTATTATTTTAGACAGACAGAAGGTATGAAACTTAGCCTCAATTTTCTTTGTTAACTTCCTTGAGCATTTCTTTGTCTTACATCTATCTTTTTTTGTGTAGGGTATTGATGCTGCATTAACTGAGTTGTGACCAAAGGCTGGAAGAAGATATTGCTGCAAGCACCTGGTAAAGAATGGGAAGAAACCATTCCCTGGTCCTTTGATGTTTAGCCTGTTTTGGAGGGCTTGTGGGGCTTATTCTGAGTTCACATTCAAGAAAGCCATGGAACAGCTGCATAAGGTCAATCCAGCTGCTTTAATATGGTTGTCTAAAGCTGGGGACCAATCAGCGTGGACCAAGCACAAATTCAATGAGGCTATCAAATGTGATGTAAACAAAAGCAACTTTGTGGAAAGCTTTAATGCCACATTGGGTATGGAAAGAGCAAGACCTGTTCTGACTTTGTTAGAAGGTAACATATTATTTGTTATGTACATGTAATAATGTGTCTATATTGGTGAATGTAGCATTAACATTTGTGGTGATTAATGTTAGGAATTAGGAGAACAACAATGGTCTGGATGTGCACTAGGAAGCAAGCTTCTGCAAACTGGATAGATGATGATATATGTCCAAGCATCAAGGCCAGACTTAAAGTGATAACTCAAGAGTCCAAGTGTTGCAAGGCATACCCTAATGCCGATGGGTATGAGGTCACTGATGGAAAATCAGTGCTCCTTGTCAGTTTTGCTGAAAAAAGGTGCCTATGTGGGGTATGGTAGATTTTTGGAATTCCTTGCAGGCATGGCATGAGAGCCATCTTGCATGCAAGGCTTGATCCAAAACAGTTTGTACATGAATGGTACTCTATGAGAAGGTACAAAGGTGTATATGCTGGTGGAATCAACTCCATCCCTGATAGTGATCAATGGCTAGACTTTGACATGCCTAAAATTGAACCTCCTGTCATGAAAAGAGGAGTTGGCAGGCCTTGTAGAGAGAGAAGAAGGGATGAAGATGAAGAAAGGAAGGGCAAGAGAAGCAAAACCATTAAGTGCAGCAACTGTCAATGCTATGGGCACAACTCAGCAACATGTAAAGGAGGCCCCACTGCAAAACAAGTTGCTGCTGCTTCCGCCTCTACAAAGGGTAAAGGGAAGCAAGCTGATGTTGCTTCTGCTGCTGCAAAGGATAAAGGCACTGCTGCTTTAGCTTCTGCAAAGGCTAAAGGCAAAGAACCCATGTCTTATTCACAGCCTGCTCCAAAAATGAGGAAGCTTAGTGGAATTAGGTTCTCAACCCAGCCTTAGTAGATGAATGTGTTGGTTGTAATTAGCATAAGTAAATAGCACTGGGAACTGATTTTTTTGGGTATTTGAATCAGTTTATTTTGGGTATTTTGGGGGGGACAGGGCATCTTATGGAAATAGCACTGGAAACTGATTTTTTTGGGAATTATTAGTTTGGATTGTGAACAATTGCTTAAGTTTTAATCTCCAAGTATTGTTCCTTTATGTTTATATTGTGTCCAGCCATGATTTATTATAGTTCATTGATACAGTTGAATAATAGAGCAACAAAACAAAAGAAATTGAATTTGAACAAAGTCCTGATTTTTATTTAATTAGGATGATCAGTACATCCTTCAACTACCTAGATTGTTAAGGACTAAGTACAAACATCCCAATTGCCCTTACATGAAACCCTAATTTCAACTAATTTCCCCCAAATTATCAATCTAGGGTTTACAAATTCATTCACTTAATTAAAGCACAGAAAAACCAAATTAAAAACATCCTAATTGCAATCTTCATCATCTTCTTGCCAAAGCCATCGAAATAACCTTTATCATTGACCTCATCAACAATCCTCACAATATTTTCTTCAGGAACCCATGCAAAAAAGTGACAACTATTGCATTTGTAGTAGGGCCTGTTTGGATTGGAGCGCGTATGTCAGAAAAACGCACGTCTAGAAATCGCTTAAATGAGCAGTAGCAGTAGCGAAGCTTGATTGCTCGAGCTCTTCCCATGGTGGCTGCGTAAAATTGGATGACGAAGATGACAACAATGGAGGAAGTTGGGGGAATTAAGGGAGAAAGGGTTTTTATAACCCGTTGTCTGACTTTTGGGGGAAAAAAGTTAACCATGGTTAACTTTATTAATGATATTTATGTTAAAACACCATCATTAATGTCATCATTAGGAGAAAAAAGATAAGTAGTGTCATTTTGTATAATCCAAAAAGGGGGTTACCGTTGGTGCGTAGTAGAAGTTGGGGGTCACCGTTGAGAATTTCCCTAAAAACTAAAATAGTATCATGTACTTTAGGGTTTGTTTGGCATCGCTGTGGTTTTCTGTTTATTGATTTTTTGTTTTTCAAAATCATATGATATATGTCATATAATGAATTAAAAATTTGTCACACTTATTAAAATCATGATAATTTTGAAAACTGACAATAAAAAAGTGGAAACACCTTTTTCTTGTTTATTGTTTTTGATTTTTTGTTTAAAAAAAAAAGAAAATTGATGAAATCGAAAAACGATGCCAAACAAGCCCTTAGATTATAGTTTCCATACATATTCTATAATTTCTAATTGAAAAATCAACATGTACCTAGTATGCGATAACTTCATTATTAATATTTATTATCGGCATTGCCTTTATTGTTGCTTAACAATTGTTGATCCTTTGTCGCTATTTGCCAACATATATACTAACAATATTACTAGGTGCAAACATGTTGATCGCATGTTTGGTTATGTTTAAGTAAGGAATGAAATATTTTCTATCTTGTATTGAAAGAAGTTTCCACATATTCAGACATGTGACTGAAAGTTGATACAGACCTGCATGCGTTGCACGCTTTAATTTTGTTTATAACTGGTACCTTTTTTTTTTTTGGTAGTAACTTAACATTTAGACATTACTTTGAGGTTGTTAAAAATCTCAAATTTAATATTACTTTGATGTTGATATTAGTCGATTTTGGCGGATTATGCTTCATCCGGTGAAGTTCATACTTTCATCTGCAAAACCCTCAACCAGTTTTCCTCTTTTAAAAGATCCTTCTTTTTCACTTCAACTTCGTCTTCTTTAACCGCGTTTCGTCAAAAACAAAACTCTCAAACCATAAAATCAATCACAAAACCCTAATCAACCAACATCCAAACATCACTTCACCATTACTCAACCCCAATATTCACGGATTTCATACGTAAAATTGACCTCATATAAACTCTATAAAAACAATCTTATCTCTAAATAACCCCTATTATTAAGATCTCAACCTCATTTAATTACTAAAATCGAGGTAATAAATAAAATAATTAACATCAATAATTTTAAAAAAAATCAATAAAAAGTTTATAAAAAATAGGAAGAAAGCGAAAGTATCGAGTCAACCCTTGAACCAATGCAAGAACTAGTAGAAGATTTTTTCACTCTACCTGGACTTCCTCATGACTCTCTCACTTTCTCTCTCTATTATCTCATTTGATATCAATATTATTATAATAACATTATTATTATTATTAAAAACATTATAATACTATGGTTATTATTATTTTATTATATAGTTTTATAATTATAATTATTTCTTTCCCTCCTCTTAACATTTTCTCTCTCTTTTCTTTCTCTCTCTTCCCGCTTCCATTGAAGGAACCTTCACTCTTTCTCTCTCCTCTTCTTCATCCTTAGTCTCTGAAACTCCCACCATTTTTACACCTTCCATTTTTCTTCTTTCTCTCTCCTCTTTCTCAACTTCATCTCTTCAACTGAAGCAGATTGAGTTTTTTTAATCAAAAACCCTAATTAATTAATTTATTACTGAGAAAATCAATTTTATTTTGATACTCTGATATAGTTTAGTTTTTGGAGATTGAATTAAGGGAGGATAATTTTTGTGCCGGTTTTATTCATGTCATTTTGTTCGCGCACGAGTTCGTTCTCGATTTGATTCTGATTCGAGTGAGAGTATTCAGTAGAGGTGATCTTTTTTAATCAACGATTTGATAGTTTAAACGTTGGTTTTTGGTTTTTTACATTGGTTTTCAGAATATTAGATCGATATATATTTCATCAGGATTTTTGTTTGAATCTTTTTTGGGAATTGGAGTTTCATCAGTTTAATCAAGGTATGATTACATTTATGCTGATTTAACTTTTTGTTTTTATGGTGAATTTGTGATTTTGGGAATCCCCAAATTTGATTTTTTTCATAATTTTTTTTTTTATAAATTTATGTTTTGTATAGTATTTGATTGTGATATTTTATGCTGGAAATGATTGAATTAATTTGAGAATTTTTTTTTACAAGATTCAGTTGTAAGTCCCAAGGAGATGATCGGTAATTGTGTTGACTTCTGCAAATGTGAGTTTATTGAGTTACAGCAGATCTTTTTGGTTGTTCTAAGTTTTTCTGGAAATGATAGTTGCAGTGTTTAGTTGATTTTTCTTAGAATTTTATGTTCAAATTTTCAGTGTTTTAGTCTGTGAAAAATCGAAAATGGAGGCGGGAAGTTCACATGTACAGCGTATGGCAGTAGGAGGCGTTTCAAACGGGCTTTTTCCGCTCCTGGCTCCGGTGCTTCTTATCTCAATTGGGTATATCGATCCTGGGAAATGGGCGTCCTGTATCGATACCGGTGCTCGTTTCGGGGTTGATCTTGTGTGGTTTGCATTCGCCTTTAACTTAATGGGAGTTTTGTGTCATTATTTATGTGCTCATATTACTGTGATCAGTGGAAAAAATCTTGCTCAGGTATAATTTTTGGCCACTTTAATTCTGTTCTGCATTTTTATCCTTACCGTTTGCTGTTTGCGGCGAACCGGAATTATACGTATTTTTGCTGATAATTTGATATGAAGCCTTTTGCTTCAATGTTGTGTGGTTCTCTTTTTATGGCACTTTTTGGTCTTCCTGATTGTTAAAAGATTTCGATTTTGGTGTTTCGTTTGTTTTGCAAGTTTTTCTCACAACATCTGCTTATTTATTTGTAATTTGTTAACTTTTTTAAAATTTTATTTATTTTATTATCCGTCGAATGGATTAAAGGGATATGTTAAGTTTGGATGTTTTATTTTTTTCTTTCCCTTCAATTTTAGGGCTTTAATTCAGAATCTTTTGAAAATAAAGGATAAAAGAAAAGGGGAAAAAAGGAACATAATCCTGCATTAATTTGACTGCTTGTTTCAAATTTACTCTTGCATACGTGTCATTGATCGTGATATGTTACCTTTTTTCCATGATGCTGAAGATTTGCAGCGAAGAGTATGACAAGCTCACATGTTTTTTTCTGGGAATTCAAGCAGAGCTGTCTGCCATTACTTTGGATCTTACTATGGTAAGTTAGCTTCCCTTCATGTTGTGAAATATGATTATGGCGTCATGACCCTTCTTCGTGATCTGCATTGTTTACGACTTGTTCTTGTCTTCTCCCTCCCAGATTATTGGAATTGCACATGGGCTCAACATGATTTTTGGCTTGGATTTATTCACTTGCATCCTATTGACTGCGCTGAATGTTGTGCTATATCCACTTTTTTCCACCCTGTTGGTGAGCTATTCTACTTTCACATCCTTCTGGGTGGAGCTCAAATTTTTGATAGTGTTTCTGTTGTCAATCTTTCTTTATTTCAGGAAAGCTCCAAGGTTAAGTTCTTGGTAGTATGCTTGGCAGGAATAACATTTGCTGGCTATGTGCTTGGCATGCTACTCAGTCTTCCTGAGTTACCGGCACCTTCGAATAGTTTGCTATCGAAGTTGAGCGGTGAGAGTGCCTTTTCTTTAATGAGTTTACTTGGAGCAAGTGTCATGCCGCACAATTTTTATCTCCATTCTTCCATTGTACAGGTAATGTGTTCACCTATTCAATATAATACTTTTTGACTTTTCTGTCATTTAGTATTTCTTGTATGCATTTTCATCACGTGTCTGACTTTATGATGCCACCAAATGGAAGATGGCATATTAAAAAATCGTATCTTGAAGGTAGGGTTAGATATTACCTTATAATCAATGAACTCCTGATGACTTTTTACAATGCAAAAGAGTTAGATTTGCACTCATTCAATAACTCTATAGTCTATAATAAAGTAGAATTTTTTTACCTCCCAAATCACTTCTTACCTCGCCCAAATGCTTCTAAGATTTTTTTAGTCAACTGGCTAGGAAAAATAGTTTACAATTACTACTATACTACTTTTTACTCTTAAAAAAATGTATGCAACTCTCTTTTTGTGTATCTATATCATTCACAATTTTATTAATCCATTCGGAAAGCAACTTAAAACACCTCATTTAGATGGCTACTTGGAGGTTTTTTTTTTTTTAAATTTTTTAATAATTTTTTTTAAGCCAATTACTTGGCAAAATATTTTACAATAAATACTATACTGTTTTTACTCCTAAAAATATGCAACTACTTTTTCAGCTATCTACACAATTCACAATTAATCCATATAAAAAATAATTTAAAATCTATCTTGGAAATGATTAATCTATTTTATATTTTTCCCAAAATCATTTATTACAACATTGTAACTTATGAACTTAAAAAGGTACAAGTAATTTTATTATTGTTAATTGTACAATAATAAAATTACTTGGTAACTTTTTAGAAATATATTGTATTATACGAAGTAAAATTATTTCCTAAGCTGAATTATTTAGAAATATATTGTATTATACGAAGTAAGAGTATTTCCTAAGTTGATAGGGTAGAGAGAGAGAGAGAGAGAGATAGAAAGATGGAGTGATGGACCGAGAGGTAGAGTGAACCGTTAGCCAATAGAGTAAAGTTGCAATGTTGCTAAATGGGGAAATGATGGAGTGATGGACACTCATGGACCCATTTGGTGAGGAGAGAGGTAGAAGGAACCATTAGCCAAACAGAGCAATGTTGCTATCATTTGGCAACTTCGTGAATGGGAAATGATGGAGTGATGGACACTCATGGACCCATTTGGTGAGGAGAGAGGTAGAAGGAACCATTAGCCAAACAGAGCAATGTTGCTATCATTTGGCAACTTCCTAAATGGGAAATGTTGTGATTGAAAAAAAAAAAAAAAAAAGGAATTGAAGCACATAGTTGAACTTTTCTAAACTCATGGACCCATTTGGTGAGGAGAGAGGTAGAAGGAACCATTAGCCAAACAGAGCAATGTTGCTATCATTTGGCAACTTCCTAAGTGGGAAATGTTGTGATTGAAAAAAAAAAAAAAAAAACGGAATTGAAGCACATAGTTGAACTTTTCTAAATACATGCTCCTCTACTGCCTTGATCAGAGTGTATGATACATGATAGAATTAGGGATTTTCGTATACTGATTAGACACAGGGACTTCCCTTTCATCTCACTACCTATGCCAAACTAAGTTACTATTTGACCTTTCTTAATTTATTTCACTAATGTAAGCTTCTGGAAGGCAATATATTCTGTATCATATTATAAGTAGAAAATTGGTGTCAAAACGTAATCTTTATCATTGATTTGTGTAATCTTTAAAATATTGGACAATTAAGGAATGAAGCCATCCATGTTAATATGTTATATCGAGGAGGGTAATTAGAAGATGAGTGTTTCAACTAACTGCTTCTGCTTTCTATTAATTTGCTCATGATGCCAATGCATGCCTGGTTGAAATTTATTTCTAATTGTCATTGTATGTACCCTACATTATGCTGATGTTGTATTGTTTTATCTTTGGCCTTGGAGACTGTCCATATTGTGTTTCTTTTTTTTTTTTTTTTTTTCCTGACTGTATTCTGTTGCAGCGATATCAAGGGCCAGTCTATGTGCAGAAGGGTTCAAGATCTCAGGATAATATTATCATTAGCCTCACTGTTTCCAGTGGCATATTCTTAGTGAATTATGTGCTAATGAATTCAGCTGCTAATGTCTTCTACAGCAATGGCCTTGGTTTGCTTAGCTATCCAGACGCAATGTCTCTTCTAGATCAGGTTTCTTTGTCTCTTGTGTTTTTTTTAATCTCTCTATTGACACAAATCCGTGCTTACTGAAGTCCTTGTATTAATTAATGCAGGCATACAGGAACCCTCTAATACCCTTTGCCTCATTTTTGCTTTTGTTTTTGGCCAACCAAATCATGGCATCAAGCTGGGAGTTTTGTGGAGAAGGTGGGGAAACGATGTTGCACAACTTCTTCAACATGGATCTTCCTGAGTGGCTTCATCGCGCTACAATCAGAATTTTTGCTGTTGTGCCTGTACTGTTTTGTTTGTGGCAGTCAGGAGCTGAAGGAATGTACCATATGCTAATGTGCACCCAGGTCATGGTGGCTCTTCTGCTCCCACCTTCTATGATACCTCTTTTCCGAATTGCCTCATCTAGACCTATTATGGGTCTGAACAAGCTTTCACCTATTCTGGAGTTTGTTGTCCTTCTTTCATTCATAGGAATGCTTGGTTTAGAGCTTATTTTTGTTGTGGAGATGATATTTGGTGAGAGTGATTGGGTTGGTAATTTGCGTTGGAGTATGGGGATTAATGCGACATCTATGGCTTATGTTTTTCTCCTTGTCACTGCTTGCATCTCTCTTAGTTTCATGCTTTGGCTGGCAGCCACTCCTTTAAAATCCGCAACTGCTCGATTGGAATCTTCGCCTTGGATCTGGGACAGTCAGCAAGTTTTACCTGAATCATATACAGAGAGGGAGGAAAATGATGTTATTGAAACTAGGTTTCTTGACGAGGAACATGTTAATAAGCCAGAATCTTTGCCGTTGCAGGAGAATTCCTTCTGTAGTCATCCAGACATGCCAACTCCTAATTACGACATTAGTCTGCCCGAAACAATTATGGATACTGTTCAGGAGCCTCATGCAACTGCTGTTGAAGAAAATTTGGGAGAACATATTCCTGTTGTCTCTTCAAAATGCCATTCTGAACCAGTGCAATCAACTGCCTCTGTTGAATCAGTGCCAATCTCCAGTGCTGTAACTAAGCCTTCTGATGATTCACGTATGGCATCTAGTCCTATGAAAAATGAACGAGCTAATCCAGCTGTGAAAATCTTGAGCATTGAGGGTGACACAGCACCTGAAAAGGATGATGAAGGGGATACCTGGGAGTCTGAGGAATCTTCTAAAGATATTCCTGGAGTTGGTCCACCAGCCTCAGCAGACGGACCAGGATCATTTAGAAGTCTTAGTGGAAAACATGATGATGGCGGGCCTAGTGCTGGTAGTCTTTCAAGATTGTCAGGGTTGGGTCGTGCTGCAAGACGTCAATTGGCCGCAGCCCTTGATGAATTTTGGGGACAGCTTTATGATTTCCATGGCCAAATCACACAAGAGGCAAAATCCAAGAAATTAGATAGTGTGTTTGGCTTAAACTCTAAGCCTCACTTGTCGCTATCAAGTTCTGATTCTGCTGGAAAAGAGTACGGGAAAGAGTATGGAATGCAGTTTCAATCTTTGGGAGGCAGAGTATCGGATAATCCAATAAACATGAATTTATATGATGCTCAAAATCAATTGAAGCTTCAAAATAATATAGAGTCAGCATATAGGGCACATGCAAATAAAACATCTGCTGCATTATGGTCCAAACAGATGCAGTATTTGGACAGCTATGGGCAGAGTTCTAGTCGTAATATGCTTGATGCTGGTGAAAGACGTTATCAGAGTTTGCACCTCCCTCCATCTTCTGATGTTTCGGATCATCAGCCTGCAACTGTACATGGTTATCAATATGCCTCTTATCTTAATCGATTGGCCAAGGAAAGATCTGATTATGCGGTTGGTACTTATGCGAATACACTTCAGAAATCCCCATCTTTGGCCCCCAACAATTATAGAGAGTCTCTTGCTTTTGCTTTAGGGCAAAATACAAATGGATTTAACTCTGTTCAGTCATCTAGGATTCAGAATCTTGCTGTACAAAGAAATAGTGCCTTGCAATCTGACAACCTTCGTTATGATCCTTCTTCTGCAGCACTTTCTGAAAGTAACAGCACCAAGAAATATCACAGTTTGCCGGACATTTCTGGACTTTCTGTTCCTCTCCGGAACTTATATGCATCAGATAGAAGTACAAGATTTGACAATCCTAACTCCTCTATGGGTTTTGGATCATCAGTTGGCCGGACTTCTTATGATCCATCCTCACTTTCAAGTACAAGATTGAGGTCTGTGCCCCCCCTGGCATTTGATGAGCTTTCTCCGACTATGGCATATCGAGATTCTGTGTCATTGAGATTAAATTCAGGGGCTGATGCAAATTCTCTTTGGTCTAAACAGCCTTTTGAACAGTTTGGTGTGGCTAATAAGCTCACTGATCTTGGAACTCTGGCAGCTGATAATGAGCCTTCCATGATGACTCCAGAGCCTCCTTCAGCTGCAGAGATGGAGAGCAAATTGCTGCAATCTTTGAGGCATTGCATTTTGAAGCTTCTGAAACTGGAAGGATCTGAGTGGTTATTTAGGTCAAATGACGGTGTAGACGAAGATCTCATTGATCGGGTGGCTATGAGGGAAAGGTTTGTATATGAAGTTGAGTCTCAAGATTTTAAACAATCACCTCACACAGGTGACCCTCAGTATCCGTATTCTGAGAGGAAGTCTGGTGCTACAATCAGGGGTGATGACATTTTTGCGAATATGATTTCTTCAGTCCCACAGTGTGGAGAGGGCTGTGTTTGGAAAGCAGATCTTGTTGTAAGCTTTGGTGTGTGGTGCATCCGTCGTATCCTAGAACTTTCACTCATGGAAAGCCGGCCTGAACTTTGGGGCAAATACACTTATGTTCTAAACCGTCTTCAGGTAACTCGTCTAATTTTACCTCAATACTTAGATTATTATCCTGATATCTCATTGTGCTCGAATTGCTATTTATTATTGTAACTTGTCAATCATGATTATAGACACAATTGGATTTATTTCCATTTTTGTTATTGGTCTGATCATGATTTTGGTGTCATGATTTGAGATCTTGCTTAGCTTGGTGGATTTGGGTGCCAAATTTGCAAAAATTATATGCATTGATAGAATGGAACCTATTTGTTGGATATAGATATATTTTCATTGATGGAGGGAGTTAGAGAGAGGAGACTGACAGTCATTTCTAGTCTAAGGAAACAGATTAGCTGCACTCCAATCTTGATTAATGTCTGAGAAAGGAATTTTTTTTAAGACTTATGCACATGAGCCTTAAGAGAGCTATAAACATGTCTGTCACAAATAGTATAATAATAAACAAAGCTAATCTAAACATATCTACTCACTTGGTCAAATAGCATAATGTTATTTCTCTCTAGTCATGTCATTCATGTAATAAACAAGAAGACTAATCAACACAGTATCTTTTGCCACAAAGCCCCACTGGACTTATGTAAGAAGTCTGTAGGTGTTCAAAAATTATATGCTGCAGCAGAAACAGTAGGGCACATTTTTTTTCACCTGTAAAGCCTTTGAGCCTTGTTATATCACTAAAAGGAAGTCAGCATTGTAAAATCAAGGGTACACTATCTGAATAGGATGAAATGATAAGACACCCCAAGTTTGGGTTGTCTTCCCATACTTGTCCTAAGTGTTCTATTTATTAATAATCCCTAGTTTTAGTTTATTTCAATTCTGTTTTCCAACTGAATGTAACCCTTGGGTAAAAATAAGTCAAAATGCCACATAGAACGTCCTTTCCTAATTTGACGTATGTATTAGTTGTCTTATCTTCTTTTCCTCTCTCCTCTTTACCTCCCTCCTCTCACTTCATTCCTTGCTCTCTCCTGTAATACATGTATGCCTTGTCTTTCTCTGCTTTAAGTTTGCCAAGCCTGCTACTTGTCCTGTTGTCGCTTTTGGCTGCTGCAGAGCTCTCTCCTCCTCTTTATCATGCATTGCTTCCTCCCTTCCTCCTTACTGCTGGGATGGCGGTGTTATTTCTTATCTGATAAATTCCATCTGTCACCTCTCCTAATCACCTACCTATTATTTGACAATTTCATCGCCTCTCTCCTCCATCTCTGGAAAAATGGAATTATGATTTTGAATTTGGTGTTGGTGGGATGAGGGAAGGTTGGTGTTGCTTAAAGATTGGTTGGGTCTTGACCCCTGACCTTCGAAATGGGTGTTGGTTTCCTGTGGTTGTATTTAGGGTTGAATAGGGGCCAAGGTTGGTTTTAATTGCAAGAGATGGAAGAACATGGAGTTTGATAATCTGGTAATATTAGCAAGTAGGGCAATTAGATAAAAATTGATTGAATCAATATGATTTTTCTTTAACATTTAACGCCTTGAACGTTGATAGTTAATTTAAAATGATTGATCGTTATCATGAAATCATTGTAGTGAGAGCTAGAAAATCATGCATGAATGCACACTGTTTAAATAAAAAATGAATTAACTGATATATTTTCTGGATTTTTGCCTGGTTTTTGGGTATTTTGTGCATGTGAGATTATTCTCCAGATTGTCCTTTGGTTATTCTAGATTTCTACTTGATTTTGAGGTTGGGTTAACATTGTAGAATTGTAGTGGTGGGTTGGGTAGGTTGTGGCTATCATAAGGGGGCTGGGGAAGAAAGCTGGAAGGTGTTGGTGGTGACTAGTGAAGGGTGCCGATGGGCCAGTATGTGAGCAGATAAAAGATACAGATGGAAAGGGAATTTGCCTGTGTCACCAGGACCAATGTGGAACACATCCTAAAATTTGGGGGTTGTATAACTTGGGTTTTTTATCTTATCAATTTTTCCGTCTGAATGTTAGCAAATCCCAAATCAATTAGGTGATGGTATTATCTTAAAAAGTTTAGCTAATGCACATAAAGGTTTTTATACACTTGGAACTTTAGGCTCCATGTACAGAATCACAGAAATATGAGTTTTATCCTATTGACCCCAAATAAGGTTATGTTTAGTTAACCTGATTTAGGTACCATATTTCTTATTTCAGACGGATAAGAAAAAAAAGTTCAGAGTCTGTGTATACCTACTATCTGAGGTATTCTGCTTAGGCTTGTAAACTGGATGCTCTCCTTTCCTTTTTGTTATTGGTCACAAGTCCATATTGGCTTTGTGCAATGTGTTGGGGTGTGGACAAAGGAGGCTCATGTACATCCTTTCAGATAATTACATGTAATAAAATTTTAACAATGCCTAATTTTACCTTTATGTCAGGGTGTTGTTGATGTGGCTTTCTTCAAACCTCGGTCTCCAATGTCTCCATGCTTTTGCCTTCAAATACCAGCCACATATCAGATGAGATCAAGTCCACCTGTTTCAAATGGTATGTTACCCCCGGCATCCAGACCAGTAAGCAGGGGAAAGGTTACAACTTCAGCAATGCTTCTAGAAGTAATCAAGGATGTTGAGATCGCAATTTCATGTCGGAAGGGCCGGTCTGGCACTGCAGCAGGGGATGTTGCCTTCCCAAAGGGAAAGAAAATCTGGCTTCCGTCTTAAAACGCTACAAACGTCGCCTATCAAACAAGCCAGTGGGAACGTATGATAGCACTCCTGGATCTCGCAAGCTTTCAGCCTCAGCAGCATCTTATGGGTCATAGCAGGTAATGGACACAGTCGCTATTTTCTGAACTGTGAACTGTTCATTTTTGGAAGCTAGTTCAATCTTTTGATCATAGCGATGGAGTTGTAACTGGGTTGATTACCTATCCAGGTAAACCCCCTTGTGTATTGGAGAAGTCTTTGGTGGAAATCTTTTCTTTTGAATCTCAGTGTATACATAGGACCGCATTGCTAGTTGTTTAAGTTGCCAAATGATAGTAAGATGAATAGAGGTAGAGAAATCGGTATGCCATATGTCTGATAAATGATCAGTTGGCTTATACATCTATATGCAATTGGTTTAGATTTTGATAGCTGAAACTAACAATGTGCAGCCTTTGCCCCTTGCTCAATGATTCAACCTTACAATGTAAGATTGGTAGTTGATACTATTCGATACGAGGACTGTAGAGTCGTAGATCATTTATCCTTGATGGTAGTATCACTGCTTTCTCTCGAAGCTTGCAGATTAGATTTTATAAATGTACGTCTGTATCTGCTTTTTTTAGTTCTTCAGCTTGTGTGATGAACCAGCATGTAACAGTTTCCACCCCCTCATTCATTGTTGTCGATCGACACCAAAAAAGGTCAAATGACCATTTAACCCTTGGATTAGGGGGGGGGGGGTTAAATCTCTATGATTCTCCTATTGTTCGAATAAATTCTATGTTTTACTCCCAAAGGAGTCACGGATCCAATTTTAGGAGTTCTCAATATCTCATGTATTGCCTTTATGTTCAATGGCCAAGAAAATGGTCATCGAAATTAAGAAAATAATTGGGGAAGTATGATAGGGAAATGCAAGAATCAGAATTTTAAATTAAACAATAGTTAGGAAAAAAAATAAAAGGAGTAGATTTAGAAAAACAAGGATAAATTAAAAGGGTAAAAAAATTGTGTACCAAATGCTTCAAAATTGAGAAAGATAAAATATAATCATTATTTTGAAACATTCAAAAGAGAAAAGAATAACCATCAATTTGAAACAAGTTAAATTTACACTTTATTTTAGGCTTCTATCTAAAATTTGTATTTCTATTTTAGGAAAGACTTTAATATTATTTTAAAACAAGTCTTTTTCCCCAACTAAAATTTAGGATCCATACTATTTATAGTTAAATAGAAAAAAATTAAAAAAAACCTAAAACCCCGTATTGCACGCCATGTAATGTAAACTCATCAATTTCATTTTTCTAATAATAATACAATGAATTGATGATTTGATATCAAAACAACTTAGTAGTTATTACCAAATAATCATGAAAAGTGTCAAATAATGTGGGATGTAGAGCACTCACATTTTGGAGAGATGAATAAGAATGCATAAAAATGTATGGACCTGTATAATATAATTTTTTTGTTCAAAATTGTAAGGAAATACCTTGGTTTTAGTTGAGTTTGTTGATCCAACACAAGTATAATATAGATCTAATTGGGGAACACTCATACAAATAACCGCAAAGAATGCTCTCAATGGAAAAACACAATCCCTAGAAGAGAGAGATTAACTCTAATGAAAAACCAAAGAGGAAAATCACGGATTGGAGTTTCAATAAGGATGATAATGATGAGGATGATGTCTCAGATTATGAGGAGATTCCAGAAGACATTCTAAAGGATGAAAGATGTCCGGTGATCCAATTGTCAAAAGAAGAGAAGAAGCAATTGCGCAGACCATGGAAGACATCTCTCATTATCAAACTTTGTTCCCGATGAAGTTCCAATTAAAGTGTTAACAGCTTGGGTTCGAATTCCAAATCCCCCTGTGGAATACTTCAATATCAATTTTCTAAACAAGATTGGATTGAAAATTGGAAAAGTGCTAAGAATGGATAAAACCACGGCTCAAGTAGAACGTGGACAATTCACTAGACTTAGTGTGGAAATTGATCTATCCAAGCCGCTTCTGTCAAAATTTTGGCTTAAGGGGCGTATATGGAGAGTTCAATATGACGGCATAAGGAAAGTTTGCTTTAAATGTGGAAAAATAGGCCATGTCAAAGATGATTGTACCTTAGGACAAATGGAAGGGGATCAGAATTCAATGACAGTCCATGATAACCCATTGCATAATCAGGTTGCGAAGCCGGAAGAAAATGAGGATTTTGGCTCGTGGATGCTAGTGAAAAAACCGACTCAAAAGACAATACTGGTGGGGCTAAGATGGCTGGTAAGGTGGTAGCTGGAGCAAGTAAGGTTGGAGCAAATTTAGGAAAGAATTTCAACAATAATTCAAAAGGAGATAATCATGGAAGTGGTTCAAGATTCGTTATCTTGGATACTCAAATTGAGGAAGGAGAGGAGAGTTTCCAGGAGAAGAATAAGGAAGCAGAGGATATTGTTGAGATCTCACAAGATAAAGATGGAAATAATATTGGCATAATCAATCTAGGAGATCTTTTGCAGCAATTAAAGCAACAAGAATATATTCCTAGGTAAATAATATTTCTTCTAGTCAACAATATCATCAGATAAAAAAAGCATCCTGCGAAAATTTATTAAGAAAAGAAAAAAGGGGGATCTCAAGTTATCTCCAATCCTTTGAAAGATGCTATGAATAACTCGGAAGTTATTCTTTCCAAAAATAATACTGCACCGAAGCAAGGAAAAGAAAATTCAAGGTTTTCTTTTGAAGCTAGCACCGAAGCCAGTTTACAAGCCACACATAAGCACTCACAAGCAATTGATAAGCCACCACAAGCTACTAGTGCGCAAGTAACTGAGTGTACTCATATCTTAAACTCCATGCTCGATAATGTTGTCAATGGAACAACCATACATGACCATCATGTGCCCCCTGTTTCATGTAATGGAGATGCAAATGGAGTCTTGGCTACCACCAAGTTCGAACACCCCGGAATTGGTGATCACGGCCAAAATCCCCAATGAATTTCAGCGTTTTCTGAAGCCAATAAGGCTAGCCTATGTCTCATACCGACCCAAGGTGGAGAATCCGAAATTAAAGAAGCAATAATTCTGGGGAAGTGGAAGCGAATTCGAGCCAATCATGATGGTCCTTCCCTCTCAAACTTGTTCTTTGCGGACGATATAATTTTGTTTGCGAAGGCTAGCATTAAACAAGCAGATGTCATCCATAATTGCCTAAGCCGATTTTGCAAAGCATCCGGGCAAAAGGTCAGCCTTGCCAAATCAAGGGTTTATTTCTCAAAAAATGTTGATGAATTTCACAGGAGGTAATTAACGCAGCATTGCAGATGGAAGCTACTAACAATCTAGGCATGTACTTGGGCATGCCAACACTTACAAGCAAAGTAACGAAGGAGACTTATAGTCACCTATGTGAAAAAATAGATCGTAGGCTTTCAGGGTGAAAACAAAATATTTATCTCTTGCTGGAAGGATGACACTCGCTAAATCAACGATTTCCACAATGGCTATGTACGCGATGCAGACTGCGAAAATACCTCGAGGTATTTGTGATTCGATTGATAAAAAGACTAGGCAATTTATTTGGGGTAGTGATGAGGATCGAAGAAAAGTTCATCTCATCTCATGGGAAATGTTGCAAAAGCCTTTGAATCAAGGAGTGATTGGTATTGTTTCGCTAAACAAGCCAATGCAGCGTTTCTCACGAAGCCAGGGTGGAGAGTTCTTGCTAAGCCAAACGCACTTTGGGAGAGAGTGCTAAGGGCCAAGTATTGTAAAGGTTGTTGTGACATAGACATGTTTGAACCTAAGGTAGGTGTATTGGGTAGCTCCCGCTAAGCTGACCTGCGCTCCCAGCACCACTTGAGAGGTGCGCCAGTCTATGCCAAAACCAGGGGTACGCTCCCAAGGGCTTAGCCTCATGGCTAACCCCAGCGGGCTTCAACATGCAGTTAGGGAAAATCTCCTAGGGGCTCAGCCTCATGGCTGACCCCAGCAGGCTCCAGCCCGCAGCGCAAGGAATAATACAACTATAAATAGCAAGCCAAGTACAACGGAAAAGAGGTTAGGCAAACACATTTCATCACTTATCCATTATTATTCATCCAAAACCATACTAACTTAAGCATCGGAGGGGGGTTTCTTGAAGCCACCACCGAGGGCATAACCACCGTTCATCGTGCAGGTAATCCCAGTTGAAGTCCAGATCTGAACGCCAACCTAGCTCCGGAACTACACCCGGAACAATTGGTGCTAGGAGGAGGGGGTAGTGCCGACGCTTTATCTCAGCCAATAAGCTTGTCTGAAGTTGGGAAAACCGCTATGACGGGAGAAAAATCAGATCCGAAGAACAAAACACCCATATCTGACAATACCCAAACACCACAAACTAAACCCGATCCTGCGAAATCTATTACAAAATTAATTCCGACTTATACCCAAAACCCAAATCCTACCGGAGCTTCTTCGGGTATCACCAAAAATACCGGTGGAACTCATAAGCTGATAGGACCAGCTCAAGCAGTCCGATTCGGAATGTCATTCATGAATCAAAACAATGAGGTGATTACTCAAACACCATCAGGAAAATTCCAGACAGTGCAGATACCAGATGTACTGCAGAATCTATCTTAGTGCGGCAAGGATCAGCTAGATGCTATCACAGTCGTGCTGAACTTATTTGGAAAGAGGTCAAGCTCCACTCGCCCACTGGCACCTGTCGGGCAGACATTTACCAGGTTTCCTGAGCTCCATCTGACCCCAGAGCAAAAAGAGTTGGCAGCCTTGCGTAAAAAAGTCAAAGAACTGGAGGCCAGGAAGTTGAACAAGGAATGAAGTATGGAGGAATCAGGGGAGGTACCAGCTGGGAACATCCGTAGCAGATATCCTATGCACAATCGATCCTTGATCCCTGAGTAAACAAAGAAGGCGAAGATCATGGTGACCCATATGGACTCACCCTTCCGCAAAGAAATCTTGGAAGAGCCGATGGAGAAAATCAAGATGCCCTCGTGCAAGTGCAATGGTACAACGACTCCAAAGAATCATCTGTTTGCTTTTGAGAGCCACATGGTCTTGTCTACCAGAACCGATTCAGTTTGGTGTAAAGCCTTCCCTCCTACCCTAGAAGGGTTGGCTGTGGAATGGTATCTCTCACTGGCGAAAGGATCAGTCTTTTCTTACAATGGTCTGAAGAGGCTGTTTATGGACCACTTTGTTACGCTGGTAGACTGCACCAAAATAACAACATAATTAATGTCACTGGAGCAGGGAAACCTGAATCGCTCAGAGACTTCACCACTCGATTCAACAAGGAGGCAACCTCAATCCCCAACATGAGCTAGGAAGTATCCCTGTTAGCGATGCAGAGTGACTTGTTGCCAGGGGCGGCATTTAAAGAATACATGGGCAGGAAGAACTTGCAAACCCTGGATGAGGCCTTGGGAAAAGCTCACGAGTTCATTAAGGGAGATGAGACAGATAGGGCCATGCTGGCTAGGAAGTTAGTTTCTGCCAAATCAAGCAGGAGGGCAGAGCCAAACCGCGCAGAGGCAGCAGGCAGAGCAAATGCAAACTCTGGCGGGT